AAGTGATCACTTCACTAAATTCCTAATAAAATATTTCCAATTGAAGGAATCAATTTAGTTTTTTACAGTTATCTAAGGCCTCTAGATTGTTTTTTAAAAAAACTTATCATTATTTAGTTAAATAACGTTGCCCGGAAATGAAGTATCAATTTCAAACTTTTTTATTCGAATACTGGAATACGAATCAGAAAAGGGGTCTTTGTATTTTTTACTGGTTGACTAATTTCTGGATATCGAATCAAAGTTGTACTGCCTGTTGCATCTATTTCAGACATTCTTCTAAAAACTTGTGTTACTACATTTATTCCTGATCGCACTAACGTTTGGATTTTTCCTAAATAGCTCTTAAATGGGAAAGCAAAATAAGTAGAAAGAGGGTCTTCCGTGGTTTCTGTGTCAGTATCTACATGGATCAGATTATAAATGTTCATCACCTGTGAAGATTTCCCTTAATACTTAGATATGTCAACAACGAATTCACATAAGAATTCTTTTGCCACATCCCTTTCTTCAGAAACTAATTTTGGATTATAAAGAATTCTGCAAGCAGAATGTAATTTGCATTATTATTAACAACCTCACTTTCATTGAATACATTATTATTTAATTTTTGCTGCTGCAAATAACTCCACTTTTTTACCCATTGATATTTGGATCTACTAATTTTGTAATTAACATATATAATCTATAGTTGAAATATTCTAATAAAAATATTTCTAACAGTTCTCTGCATAAAGTTTAAAATTAGAATTTGTGGAGACACGCGTTTAGCAGATAAAAATAATGTCAATATTAAACAGATAGTCGACCTAACTTTAGCCCATGGTTGTGCCGACCATTTCAAAATTAGCCTTTATACTGTGATTGGGTATTAGGCAGTTGTCACAGTCGGCAACTAAGGTTGGCCCAACTTTGGTTAATAATGTCTCTCACTGTCGGGCAAACCTTAGTTGCCGACCATTTCAACATATAAATATTTAACCATCAGGCCTACTATGGCCCAAAGTTGGGCTAACCATTACAAAATAAGACTTTATACTGTGTCATTTACAATATAGCCGACAGTCAGCCCAACTGTGGCCCACAGGTGGGCCAACCATTACAAAATGAGACTTTATTTTGTGGCAATTACAGTTTAGCCGACAGTCGGCCCAACTGTGGCCCATAGTTGGGACGATAGTTGGAAATTAGGCGGTTGCCACGGTCAGCAACTCCGGTAGCCCACTCTTGGGAAAATTATTAACCAAATATGGGCCATTCTTGGCTGCCGAAATATCGGCAGCCGTAGGTGCTCCGACCAAGGGCCGACATTCCAACTGTGGCGGCCGACCAAAATTCGCACCTAAGTATAATTTATACATTAATTAAATTATCCCAGTGGGCACCAAGATATCTTTAGGTTAACTTAAGAAATATTCAAAGTTTCCTAGTACATTGCGTCAATGTTCCAAAGACATAAAAAAGACGCCCAAAGTATATTCTATGTCAGCCTTAAAACAATCTTAAGAATATCCTGAAATTGTCCTAAAAAAGTCTCAAATACTTCATCAGAAAGTCCACATAATGCCCTAAAAGATTCCCGAAATGTCGAAGAACGTTTTAAGAATGTCCTGAGATTGTCCCCAAAATGTCTTAAATACGTCTTAAGAATTTCCTAGAAATATGCCCGAAATGTCGAAAAACGTTCCTAAAATGTTCTCAGAGTATCCTAAAAGTGTTTCAATTATATCCTAAGAATGTCCAAAAATATGTCCTGAGAATGTACCAAACATATGCTGAAAATGTCCAAGGAATGTACTAAAATCTTCCAAAATCTTTGATAAACGAAATGAATATTACACTAAAATTATGTATACTTTATAGCGTAACGCACGCGTAATTTAAGGGGTATTAAGTCTTAAACGCCGAACAACCCACTAGACTGAAATGCTCTTGAAGTTCCAAATAGACAAAAAAAATATATCGCGATTACTGGTCATATATATATATATTGATCCTTATGGATTAATTCTTCAAAAAAGAATTATGTTCCGAGAATGTACCAAACATGTCCTAAAAATCTCCAACAAACTTTTTTGTAATATCCTCAACATGTCTAAAAAATCTACTGAAAAGTTTCAAATTTTGTTCATAATTTTTTAAAATATCCATAAGGTTTCTTAAGGATATTTTAGTAATTGCTCTAGGCCAGACATAGAACTTGTTTAGGACGTCTTTATTGCATTCATTTTCACATCTATATGATGCCTTTCTAGGGATATTTTGGGATGCTATAAGGATATCTTTAGAACGACTTTTAAACAATGTCCTAAGAACGTTCAGAAAAGGATGTCTTTGGGACATCCGGTGGATGTCCGTCCCATTTCGTTAGTTAGTAGCACGTAAGGGTTTAGATGTACAATTTTTTAAAAATGTCAAAAAACAACCTTTGGTCTTAAAATTGTTAATTTATATAATTACATAGGAGTGGAATTTTACAGTTCTGTTTTGGGCAGATTGGCCACAGAGAGTTCGATCTCAAAGGCTAACCAGACTCTTGGCGTTGTAAAGAGGGTTGTGCATGTCGGTAAGGCAGATTTTAGACTTAGATATGATAGGTCTGCAACAAAGATACATCGGATATTGTATTATTTTAAATCGATTTTTGGAAGACAGGTAAATAAAACACATTCACATATGTAATGACAACGTTTCGAAGGCACAGTTCGCCACCATCCTCAGGTCACTTTATTACAATCTAAACAAATTCAATACATATGGAAGAAACCAAAAAAATTCAAAAACAAAAAATTCGTTTTTCTTTTTTTAAAAATTAATATCTACCTAATTGAAATAAATTGCACCAACATTTCATCAAAGGAGTAAACATTAAATAAAAAATTGTAAAAGTTTAAATTATAAATCACGAACATGATTATTGTAAGTGATTAGTCAAACTGAGTCTAACAGTGACAATTTTCACATTATATACAGAATAATGGGTCAATGAACCTTCATAGAAATATTATAAATATAATCATTTTTTCAATTTGCTAAGTAAAGGAAAATAAGTATTGCTAAGGAATTGTACATCTTCTTTCTTATTAATAGTAAATTCGTTGCTTTTAATATGGATCATTTCTGAAATCAATCTTTTTCTATAAGAAAATTCGTAATCTATAATTTTTGCATCCTCGAAATTGAAAGAATGATTAAAGTTTCTATTCCCTTTAATAATATTTACTTCAAATTATCCAATATTCTCAAAAAATACAATGTTTTAACTATTCCAATGGTTCAAAAAAGTTTAGTTTCTGTCATAAAATTGGGTAGACTGGACAAAAAAAGTGGGATAGAACGAGTATTGTATAAATTCAATTGTAATAATTGCCCTGATACTTATATAGGTGAGTCTAAACGGACTTTAAAAAAAAAGAATTAATGAACATAAAAATAATAAAAATTCCGATTCTGTTGTAAACAAACATCAAGCTGATTATAATCACTTTTTTAATTTCGAGGATGCAAAAATTATAGATTACGAATTTTCTTATAGAAAAAGATTGATTTCAGAAATGATCCATATTAAAAACAACGAATTAACTATTATTAAGACAGAAGATGTACAATTCCTTAGCAATACTTATTTTCCTTTACTTAGCAAATTGAAACAATGATTATATTCATAATAGGGAGCGTTGAAAAATTACGTAACATTTTTTGGGGGAGGGGGGGTCAAGCACTTTGTTACGGACAGCAGAGAAAATGGCGCTAATGTATGCAATAACGTGCTACATGGGGAGAGGGGGGGGGGTCACAATTAAAAAAAAACGGTACGTAATTTGTGAACGCTCCCATATTTCTATGAAGGTTCATTGACCCATTATTCTGTATATAATGTGAAAATTGTCACTGTTAGACTCAGTTTGACTAATCACTTAAAATAATCATGTTCGTGATTTATGATTTAAACTTTTACAATTTTTTATTTAATTTTTTACTCCTTTGATGAAATGTTGGTGCAATTTCTTTTAATTAGGTAGATATTAATTTTTAAAAAAAGAAAAACGAATTTTTTGTTTTTGAATTTTTTTTGGTTTATTCCGTATGTATTGAATTTGTTTAGATTGTAATAAAGTGACCTGAGGATGGTTGCGAACTGTGTCTCCGAAACGTTGTCATTACATATGTGAATGTGTTTTATTCACCTGTCTTCCAAAAATCGATTTAAAATAATACAATATATATATTCATATGGAAGAATTAAATATATAATTTTTATTAAGATACATCGGATACTTAGTACATTAAAAGCTAAGGCCTCTTTATGCTTTTTTGGACAACGTAAGTTTCTCTTAACAAAGGTTTTCCCACAGCTAAGATTAACAACAAAACAAATTATATTTACATAAAATTAATTACGGAAACAAATATTAATTATTAATTATTAGTACTCTAATTTATGTTATATTTACATAAAAGGGTAACATCTATGTTTGGAATGCAAAGTTCTTCTGCTCGTTATGTAATCTGGGTGAGAACGAATATTTACATTTTTTATTTGATTGTCCAATCTATTATGGCTATCCAGAGTTTTATTTTGCGAAAATTATAATAAATACTCATCATAAAAATTGAATGGCGGAACTCTGTAATGTAGCACATGATTTGAGTACCAAAAATATTTGTTTATTTGTAACTAAATGCCTATTGCTGAGATCTTTTTTTTAACGAGTGAAAACGTAACATGTATATAGTGGAATTTTCTGCAACAAAATGTCTTATATGCAGAATAAATTATTATTATTATAATAAAAGAATTATATTTAAAAAAATGTACTCTAATTTTTTATTTACCATTGCATACAAGAAAAATAAAACAACTTTTCATTCTTTTTTAAAAGAGAAATTAATTATTTTGCTTTTAATTAATAAAAACAAAAAATCTCTAGAATTTTAATACAATAAGAAATTATTTGACTTCAATATTTTATTATAGCATCTATTAATTTAAACCCTTTTTGACAATAATAACTTTTAAAGTAGGTAATCTTATTTTATGACATTTTTTTCGATGTTTTTATAAAACAAAATAATTTTTTACACTTTTGTGTGATCTTAATTCTAACAAACAGTAATTTTGTTAATAAGTATTTAAAATAAAATACTACATTTTCCATCACATAAATCACAAGCCCTATCATAATGCCCATCAACATCATAATTATAACTGCACCGGTCTCATATACAGTAATACTCTTAAGGCCTAAAATTTCTGTTCGACAAAGAGGTTTTCTAGCAGACCATCTTTTAATTTGACGCCGACGTATGCCCATATCATAAAGTTTTGCCATACTGAAACATAGAAATAAAACTTATATATATTTCATAAAACTCTTGATCTTTTATGTTGTTAAATAATGATTTAAGGGGTCCGTGTGGAAATTTTAACCGGGCCCTGGTCGAGTATAGATCGGGAAATTTGTACTGGCCCGATCTGAATGCAACAGTATACCCGATTGGGGACATGCCTGAGAGCCCGATCTGATTTTCTGGTCTGGGCCTTACCTGAGCCATGTTAATTTTCCCAATTCGACAACCACTAAAACTTTTGTAGTAATATAATTTAAACCTATTTTATAAATTATAACGTTGTCAATTTTAAGACACTTTTAAAAACCTCGACCTTGACGTGGACGTGAAGCCTCCCTTATTTTAGGAAAATTTATTGTTGTTAATCCAAAAGGGAGAAAAGAATTGTATATCTTTTGTTAAATGAAACACAGACTAATTTAATGTTCTTTTGATTTTTAAATTGAATCTCAGAGAATCCGAGAGTATATCTCATTGAAAGAAAGAATTAAATACTGCAGCGTTTGTTTATATTTTTCTGTTTAGCCTATTAGATGCGGCCAAAATCAGCGCAAAATAAATTAAAACAAAAGTCTCTCAGAAGGAACGAGAAGAGTCCAGGAAGCAGACTTGAGGACGAATCCAAAAATGCAGCCAAAAGTTCTTAGATTAGAACTTTTAATCATAGAGAAAATCAGTTATTATTTTTTATTAACAAAACTACTCTTTATATTGTTGTCACTGCTCCAGGCTCATTTTGTAATAAGTTCACACTATTACTAGTCCAAGATCAGCTGTTTTCCTTAAGAGTATTATAATGACTCGCGCCAGCAAGGCTGCAACCCGTTGTTCGCTGCTTGCGAATTCATGAATCCGCAACTATCGACAGGGTCGCTACCACGCATGTGACGTTTCTAATAGGCAAAGAGAACGAGCAGCCTCGTGGCGCTCGTTCTTCATGTTTTGTACGTCTTGGTTGACGGATTGTCAACAGAGGATTAAAAGATTATCAAAAAGCCAGGCGCTCATCATTAATTATCAGCAGCCATTAATAATCTGTCAATATTGAGGTTAACCCGAGATTTCAATTCACAATTTCCATCAAATTAGTAAAATAAATTAAGTTTAAGAAGAAGAAATAATTGACAGGCTATAAAATAAAAGCTATAAAATTAAGTATATTTATTTTTAATATGAGCATCTTATTTTTTAAATAAAAAAGAATTGAAAGTTTCAATTCTTTTTGTTAATTACAATTTTTAGTCAATAATAAACAATTTGGATAGCATAATCTCAAATATGACAAAGGTCTATTCTTAAAAACTTTAATTTTTATTCAAACAATCCTTTATAATACACGGAGAGAATTCTGTGGTGATTATTATACGAAACATAACCTAGATTAATCATATGAAAGAGTCGTAGCGCCTTTTGCTTAAATTCAAGTGAAATTCGCCAGTAACCCGACTTGTAATACTACTTTTGTCAACAATAAATTTCGGCACCGGCAAATCAATGATCGGTCGAAAATATTAATAATATTTTACGAGACATCTTCAATCGCTGCCTATAAAAAAGGGAGTTCTTTCCAGACTGGAAGAGGCAAAGGTTGGTCCTCCTAAGAAAGGGTGACACACCTCTGGATGAGGTCTTATCGTACAAGCCTATATTTCTGTTGGACACGATGGGCAAACTTCTAGAGGACATGGTTCTGCAGAGATTTCAATCTCACTTGGCAGAAGAGAATAGTATATCCGATTACCAATTTTGATTAAACCAAGGTCGATCCACAGTTGATGCCATAAAGGCAGTTGTGGACCTCGTCAAGAAAGAGAAAAACAAATTGGGTCCTAACAAAAAGAAGAGCTTTTGCGCGTTGGTAGCAATAGACATACGAAACGCGTTCAATTCCGTGAGATGAGAAGATCTCATTGAGTCGATGATGCAGAAAGGTATATTGTCCTACCTGTTGAGGATAATGGATAATTAATAATTATGTATGTACGATGACTTCCTGAGATTCGAACTGCCCGAAGGTGCGGTGATCGTGTGCGCTACCCGACATGGAAGTAGCTCTGGGGATATTGGTGAACGAATGTCTGCGGCTGGCAAAATGCTGGCTGAAAACCATAGGTCATCAAATGGCCCTGGAAAACACCGAAGCATTGCTGATCACAGACAGACGTGGTTATAAAGCCCCACGAATCGTGATAGACGAATTCGAGGTCAAGTGAAGGAGACAGATATAGTAACTTGGTGTGGAACTGTATGGAAGGTTTATCTTCCATCACCACATCGCTACAGCGTCGAATAAGGCAATAAAGTGCGCGGATAATTTAGCACGGGTGATGCCAAATGTTGGAGATCCCCGTAAGAAAAAAAGGAGACTGGTGGCAAGTGTGGCAAGTTGCTTTACGCAGCACTAACGTGGGCCCCATCCCAACGGTAGGCAGGAAGCGACGATAGGTTGAACAAAAATGTCGACAAAATCGGCTAGTGGGGTTGCCTTTATTATGTTTACAGGTGAAAAAACCGTTTCGACCGAAATCCTAGCTGCTCCTATCTCAAAGTTATCCACATTTGAAAATTTTTTGTAATAGGATCAATTTTCGCGAAATAGAAAAGGCGCGCGCGCGTGCATGTATATATATATAAAATGTCTCACTGAAAGTTCCTTCAATATTTGTTATATATATATATATATATATATATATATATATATATGTTACGGGCAATGTGCGGGAGGCGGGCAATGTCCGAGAATGCCCGGGCATTGTCGACAATGCCCAAAATCAGTGGGCATTGTCGACATTGCCCTGTTTTTTTCGGTCAATGTCGAAAATTATTTATAAAATTCTGTTTTCTGGGCAATGTCGACAATGCCCAGTCCATTTTGGGCAATGTTGAAATGCATAAAATTTTTTAATAAAAAATAATTTGTAATATAAGTAAATATTTCATCACTTGTTAAAACTGAATAATTGAATAATATAATCAATTTAACGCTGTTTACTAAATTCTGAAGAATTTTTATTTGTGCAGTCAATTCAATGGATTTATTTGCAATCATTTTGTGTGCCCCAAAAGGAGGACTTTTCGTCATTTTACGATATCAAACATAAGTATAGACTTCATTGTGATACTCGGCTGTAATTCTTAATTTTTAATATTTAATGTACTAAAATAATGTTTTATAATTGTAAAGAAAAAAGTTTTAATAAATTTTGTACTTAATTATCAATTAATTTTATTATTTCTACAAAAATATTAATTAAGGTGAGAAAAATTAATTTGATCAACGCTTTGTTAGTACAAGAAATTATTTTGCTGTCAAAAAAACGGACAGACAATTGTGCTTACATGTCTTGTGAGGAATATGAAAGTTACATTAAAAAAGTGGACCAATTAAAGTTATGCGAAAAAAAGGATTCGAGGAGTTACAGATTTTTAAAAAAATACGACACAATTTCCGTGAACGGAAACAAGAAATTAATTAGACCTATTAACAGTGACAGTGAAAATAAATATTTCGGGCATTATTTTCTAATAACATGTTACTTATTTATAATAAACAACATTGCCCAAAAATTAGTGGGCAATGTCGAAAATGCCCGGGCATTGTCAACAATGACCGGGCATTGTCAACCTTTTGTAAACGTTTTTAAAAATAAGTGGGCAATGTCGACAATGCCCACTGATTTTGGGCATTGTCGACAATGCCCGGGCATTCTCGGACATTGCCCGCCTCCCGCACATTGCCCGTAACATATATATATATGAGAGAGATTCTTTTTCAATCGCCCCAGCCCAAAAAGTCAATGTTCTGGGATTGGCTTCATACTTTGGTAAATTGTTGTCCTATATGATAGTAATAAATCCCTAAAATATAAACTCATTAAAAAAATATTTGTAGAAAGTAGAGGGGGTTGAAGTTTTGACGTTAAGGGTAACATTGTCATTTTCAAATCCGTATAACTATGACGAAAGTTAATGGATTTTAATTTATTTATAATGAATTTTAATGCATTTTTCACGTACTTTTCAAAAATGTATACAAAATTTTAAAAAAAAATTTTTTGACCCTTTTTTTCAATATCAACCCTTATTTTTCGATTTTCACCCCTTCGGGTATTTTTTTTTAATTTTTTTTATTTTCATTGGAAAGCTGAGATTTTTTCCCATGAGCTATGTAAATATGAAAATGGGACAACAATAATTTTGTGAGAAACAGAATATTAATGTAGGCGGTGCCGATAACGGGTATACCTAAAGATCATCTTCGAGGATATAGGTAGGCACCGCCTCCTTTAATATTCTGTTTCTCACAAAATTATTGTTGTCCCATTTTCATATTTACATAGCTCATGGGAAAAAACCTCAACTTTCCAATGAAAATAAAATAAAAAAAAAATACCCGAAGGGGTGAAAATCGAAAAATAAGGGTTGATTTTGAAAACAAGGAGGGGGTCCTTTATGTTTATTTCATAAACATTATGCTTCCTCATTTTGTGAAGCAAAAAATTCGCTTCCTCGTGAAGGAAGCAATGAATTTGTCTAATTCAATTGATTGATTTAAAAAATTTCGAGTTAAAAATGTTTTAAATTAATTAAATTTTTTGAAAAATAAAGAAAATTTTAATTAATTTTGAGTGTAACATAAACTTTATATATACGAATCGATTCGTTTTAATGCAAGGAATACAATTATTTTATTCATGAACTTGAATTTTAAAAAAACACAACATTTTTTAGCTAAAATATGAATTTTCGATTTTTCAATTTTTATTAATTCTCAAATTTTAAATCAAATCTATACTTTATATATACCAACCAATTCGTTTCAATGCAGGGAATAAAATTATTTCATATATAAACATGAATTTAAATAAACACATCATTTTTTAGCTAAAATGAGAATTTTTGATTTTTTAACTTTCATTAATTCTTTAAATTTCAATCAAATCTATACTTTATATATATCAATCGATTCATCTTGACATAAA